GGAAGGCCCCCGCGCCATGCAATATCCGCCACCGAATAATCTCGCGGACACCTAGCGCGCACGTGCGGGCGTCCACCATGGATGCCCGACTCCGGTTTCGGAGACAATCGCGCGCAACCGCCCGAGGGCTTCGGCAACCTCGCGATTGGCCCAGGGGCCCGCGGGCCCCAGGGAATCGAGGACCGAGTTCGCGTCTCCGGAAGCATCGGGCGCGGCGCCAGCCAGTCGCTCGTCTCTGGCTGACAGTGGGACGCCTGGAGATCCGGTAAAACCTGAGGAACCGCTTTTCAGAGACTCACAGAACCAGAAAACGGGGCGCGCCAAATTCTCGCGTCCGAACTTCTCTGAGAATCTCTGAAAATCTCTGAACTAGACACCCCGCGTAAAACATTCCCATAAACCCAAAACCTCGGAGCTGGCCGAAACTCTCTGAGAATTTTTCGGCCCGCGAAATTTGGCGCGCCCGGATTTCCCGTTCCGAGATTCTCTGAAATCGGCCTGCGGCGGCGCCCAGCAGGTCCTCACGCGCCGAGGGTGGGGGCCGTGGACATCGCAGGCCGCGATGGTCCCGACCACGAGGTCCTTCCTCTTGCCCCTCGACGAGTCCACGCTCATGGACACGCTCTCTGCGCTGAGCGTGGACCGCGCCATCCGCCGGTACTTCTGCGCGACGACGGCCAACTGGCCGCCGACGGACAAGGCGACTCTTTTCCGAGCTGCGCGTGCCACCGATACCGTACAATAGCCCCGGGCTCGGGGAGAAACACTTTCGAAGCATTTTCAGGCCGCCAGCGTCGCGGCTGCCGGCCCGCCGCGCGCCGACCGCGAGACTAGCTGGGCCCACTACGTCCACGGCGGCGGGCGGGCGCCCAAGAGAGCTGTCGCGACGGTGCGCGCGGCGGGGCGCCCGCCCCACTGCAACCGCACATGCGGCCTCCATGGCGCCACAGGCGTAATATGTGTGACGCGCTCTCGGGCCCCCCATCAACGCATTGGCCAGCGCCCAAGCCCCTGAAACGCAAACCTACTGCGCCCCCCGTGCAAGCCGCGCACCCGCTCCCAATGCTCGTGCACACCAGCTTTTTTGCCCGCCCTCAACAGTTTAATTGAGCGCCCATGCGTTACTTGGGCTCCTCAAGCCCTCGAAAAGTCCTTGGGGAACTTCTGCGAATGCGCGCGCTGCGCTCCACAATTCGGCGTTCTATTTTTCTTTGGAACTCTCCCAGAATCTCTGGTTCCGATTTGTCCCGATCTTCCGCTCAACTCTGCTTGAAACACGCGCAAAAAAACAACCAAACTCTACTCCAGGGGGTGGGAGGGGGTGCGAGGGCCTGCGCCGATCGGCAGAACAATGAATAAGAGAACGATCACAATAATCATCCCCCCCCCTCTTGGCCGCCCCCGACTGTGGCAAGCTCTCCCTGAAGCAGCAGGGGCACACTGCACGGCAAAGTGCGCACAGGTTCGCCTGTTTTGGGGGGGGGTTCGAGCTCCCCTCCTCCTCCTCCTCCCCCTCCCCCTCCTCCTTTTCCACCTGCTCGCCTGCTCCACCTCTCCCCTAGTCGGGCCTCGAAACAGACGACCACTTCGCATGAAGCGTTCGGCACTCACGGTTTAGCAACTGACCAGACCCCGCGCCCTCCCACAGGATCCAAACGTGCAAAAAAACGTCAGGATGAGGACACATTTGGATTCTGATGCATCGGGAATCTCTGAGAGCCTGCGCCCTGAGAAGGGTGCCTGGCAATGATCAATCAGAAATCTCTCCAGAGCGTTCCATGAAGCCCTGAGGGGGTGCGAGAACTCTCGGGAGCGATGCATCCTAAGACTTCGCATGCCAGACCGTGAAATCACAAATGTGCAGACGCGAAGTCGGGCTGCTAGGTCCGAAACAACAACACCCGGAACAGTAAGCTACTCAGGCACGGCAAGAAAGGGTCGCAGCCGCAGAGGGGCGAGGTCTCGGTTCTCGGTGGGAACAGGGCGGGCTCACGGGGGAAAAGGCAAGCCCTTCGACGTCAAGAATAAGCGAGCAAATGGAAGATCATATGCCGAGCGCACGCTGACATGGATTGCGGATCCGTGGATCTGGCGCGTGGGCGCCACATCCACGGATCGGGGAGAGTACCCCCAAACCGTGAGGCCAGCGCCGCTGGGTTTCGCGACGGATCGCGCCGACTCTGCTCAGAAACCGGACCCGTCGCGAATCCACGCACCTAACCCATGCTGGCGCTTCCTCGAATACGTCGGCGGAGAAGGATGGACAGGAGGCAGCGGCGGGGGAGCAGCAGCGCTGCGCCCCGTGCGCACGGAACGCGGCGAGCGTCACCGCCTCCAAATGCGTCCTCCCGTCGTTCACCACCACCTCGCTCGCGAGGCACGGACGGAGAGTGGGATCTAGGGAGACCCAACCAGGTACCGATACCGCTACTCCCCCGACCTCTCCCAGGGTGCGTTCTGACTAGGATTCCGGAGCGAATCCTGCGGTGGCGACGAAGGCCTCCTCAGAGGCCGAAACAGAGGAAAACGAGGGAGCTGTAGTGGTATGGGTGCCCCTTCCTCCTCCGGCAGAGGACGATCAACTTTCAGGGGCTAGGTACCACTGGCCAGCGACAAGTGGGGAAGACGTGTTCCTTCCCCCCAGGTGGGGGGACCCCATCGTGCCGACGACCTCCCAAGAATGGCAAGAATGGCTTGAAACCGACGGGTTCCCCAAGGGGGGGAAGGACCACAGCTCCCCAAACGCTCTGTGTCAGCTGACCCCCAGAGACGCGGCGCAGGATGAAACAACTCTCCATCTTGGGCCATGCTCGTCGTGAGCACAATCAGCTCCATATTTGCGCCCAAGCTCCACTGCCCCCCCCAGACTCGTCCAGGTCTGACATCCACGGGAGCCCCGTGGGGGCCCCGAGACGCGCCGAGGACAGCGCCCAGAGGACCACAGCCCAAAACAGCCCGACAGAGAGCCACGGTGGCCAAAGAGGGCCCCAAGAAGCCCCGAAGACAGCCGCGAGATCCCTCGGGCCAAGCGAGGGACACGAGGCGGCCCCAAGGCGGGCCAAGAGGGCCCGAGAAAGCCCGACGGCGGCTCAGAGGGCCAGAAAGGATAGAGGCGGGAGGTGGCAGCCTTCTGCAGAAGGAAAACGATTGCGTAAACGTAAACTTTGGGAGGCCCGCCCGGAATTCTCAGAGCGGCTCTGGACCTCCCTCTCGCAGGATTTCTCAGAGCGCACCAGGGGCGGCGCCCGAGGCGCCGCCAGGGGGGCTGCAGAACCGACGCAAGACATCCGCGCGGACCTTCGAGCAGTCCATGTTTAGGCTTGTGGATGTCATGACAATGGACACTCTAGCAGTCCTACCATGGAATTTTCTGTTGTCTAAAACATATATGTGTCAACAACTGTATAACACACGTTTCAAACATTGGATTTCGTGTTTTGAACATGGTTTAACATTTTAGGCATCTGGCAATTATTTGACAACATGCCTCCTCTCCATGGATCGACTCTGGGCAGCGCTCGAAGCGCCACCACACGGATCGCTGCGCTGGCATTGGTGGCGGATCGCGGGGGGTAAGGCGACCACCTTCCCCGACTTTGTGCACCTTCCAGCTGGACCCTTCTCTTGCCAGACTCGGACAGATACGAGGGGGGTTGTCCCTTCACGATACAATAGGGGCCCGACCACAAGAAACCTTCCACAAGACACACAATCCTGAGACTCCAGGACGTCCATTGATTTGTCGGTGTGGGAACGTCACGCTCTCGACGGCAGAACCCTCGAAACCCAAGAAACCCGTGGCACCCTGGAGGCAAGCAAGGTGTTCCTTGGCGTGGGTCTCCACTGTAAGGCGATCCCCGTCCCCGACTTTGTGGGACGTCCGGCTGGACCCCTTTCTTGCCAAACTCGGGTGTATACGAGGGGGCTTGCCCCTTCACGATGTGGGGTGCGTCAGCCGCCCCTGGGTGTGTCTGGGCGTGTCTGCCCGAGATCGCCCCTCTTCTGCGCAGCAGGAACTTCTGCCGCACGCTCCCATGGAGTACGTGCCTGTAGATCTGGCGGTGTGGGCGCCAGACCCACGGACTCAGGACGGTGCCCCCGAAACGCGAGGCCAGAGCCCCCAGATCTGGCGACGGAGCGGGCCGGCTCTGCACAGTAATCGGACCCGGCAAGAATCCACGCGCCCGAATTCATGCTGGCGCCTCCTCGAACCTGCAATGCAGGGGGGCGAGGTGTCAGAGCAGGGCGGACTCTCTGGGGAAAAGGCAAGCCCTTCGACATCAAGAACAAGTGAACCCTTTTAGGGCAAGATGTCGGGCGCATCCTAACATGGATTGTGGATCCGTGGATGTGGCGCGAGGGTGCCAGATCCAAGGATCGGGGAAGCTACAGCGGAGACCAGCCCACAAGAAACCCTCCACAAGAAACCCAGCCTCGAGACCCCAGGATGTCCATTGAGGCTTGATGTGGGAACGCCGCGCTTTCCATCGCAGGACCATCGGAACCCAAGAAACCCGGGGCACCCCGGAGGCAAGCAGGGTGTGTTCCTCGGCATGGGCCTCCCCTTTCTATCTCCGGAGCATGCGGCCAATGCTGAAGGGAAACTGGGACACACAAATAAATAGACACAAATAAAAATATCCCCCATATTTTCCCATATTTTCTGTTTTTTTGTCTTCCCCCCCACTTCCCATATTTTCCTATATTTTCTGGGAATCGCAAATGAATTGTGTCTGTGTGTTTTTTCCCCTCCTGAAGTGCCGCCAGGCTTGGCGACGGAGCGCGCCGATGCCGCTCGGAAATGGGGCCCCCGCCGCTGTGCCGCGCGCCTCCAGCCGTGCCTGCAGTGCATCGGCTGGCGTGCGCTGTGCGTCGTGTCGAGCGTCCGCCGCCGCGAGCCGACGAACCGGAGGCGAGCCCCCGCCGCGCCACGCAGGAGTCGAGCCCGGGTCGGGCCGGAGTCGAAGCGGAGTCGAGCCAGGGTCGAACAGAGCAGTTTGAAGGGGACCCAAGGACACACACACATAAATACACACAAATAAAAATATTCCTCGTGTTTTCTGGGTTGCTGTCTTCCCCACCACTTCCCATATCTTCCTGGGAATCGACGATGAATTGTGTCTGTGTGATTCTTTCCCTCCTGACAGTTGGTGAGCGTTTTTTTTATTCGGCGTGTCGACATTCGGCAGAAGGGGGTGGGACTGCGGAGACTCTGCTTAGTGCGACTGTTTGCGACGGTGCTGCCTCTGGGGGAGATTGCACCCACTCGAGACAGGCGCCAACAAAAACAGTCAAGATCTACTCCAGAGGGGGGGAGGGGGTAGGGGGGGGGGTGGGCCCGCGCCGATCGGCAAAACACCACGTACAAAAACGATCACTTGGGGTGGACCCCAGTAAAGGTCCCCCAATCAAACATCGATGAACTTCTGGAGCGCCCCAATCGCCCGAGGCATCCTCGGAGAAGGACCCACGCCTGGCGCCAAAGCCTCGCGGCCGCCCCGAACGCCCACGGACTCACAGCACGGTGTGGACACTGCACCGTCTGGGGGCCTCCGGAGTCAGGAGGCCCGGAGGATTGGTCGGCTACACGCAAGGGCGACCCCAGGCACGAGTGGCCTTTGGTGCGCGGACTGCAGTCGACCCGTATCAAGAGGACGCTCGGCAAGGATGCAAAGGGCCTTGGAAGGCCACATCGGCGCTTTGCGAGCGGAAGAGCGGCCGACGAAGGTGGCCAAGGATGGACCGAGGATGCAAGGATGCAAGTGTACCCCAGATTTCGTAATCAAAGGGAGGGGGTCTGGACCCTCCAAGACAAGCCATTTCAGACCTCCCCCGTGGGAGAACCCTCCAAAACATCGTCCCCAGACCCCCCAGGCCCTCCAAGATAGCCTGGGAGAGACCCCCCCCGAAATGAGACCCCCCTCCCTTTATTACGAAATCTGGTGTACCCTTGGGAGGGTTGCCCATCCTTCCTGTGCGGGCTGGCTGCAAGGGGCCGCCAGGTGGCCCAATCCAAGCGCGCACGCAGCCGCGAAAGCATCGCGCTGAGCAATCGGGGTGACCCCTAAACATAAGAACTCGGAGGTAAGCGCGGATGTCTCGCATCGGCGCTGGACGCCCCTTCCGGAGCGCGGCGCCGGAGGCGCCGCCGGGAGGCCCCAGCGCCGATCCGAGAAATCTGCGCGGACCTCCGAGTTTGCATGTTCATGCCACTTCTTGTTTCCCGAACAATTGAGCAGGGACCGACCGTCCCGGCATTCCTATAGATAGGCCTACCAGCAAACTTTCTTAGAACCCAGAAATGTCCTAAGAACAAAAACCATAATCTTAGAACATATTCCTGATGTGTTAAAACAGATCAGTCCCAGCCAGAAATGTTCTAAGAACATTTCGTGGAAACCACACATTGTCTGGTTGATCTACAGACATGCCAGGACGCTTCGCCACTGCTTGATAAGCAAAACTCCCTCCAGCGAAAGGTCACTGCTACGGGCCAGACGTCGCCTGCGAGCGGAGGCGCCGGCGCTCGCGCGCAGCACTCGCCGGGCGCGCCTTGGAGGCGCTGCCTGCCTGCGGCCACCCGAGCATGCCGGCCAACATAGCCCCGGTCTGGCCGCTGTCCCCGTCGATGGCCTGCGGTCAGCCGCGCGCGCCGCTCTGCGGTCGCCTTCCTTCCCTCCTCCTCGGCTTCCTCCTCCTTCTCCTCTTCCTCCTCCTGCTCCCCATCGCCATCGTCCTCCTCCTCGGCATTCCCTTTTCCTGCTCCTCGACCTCCTTCCCTCCTCCTCATCCTGACCCAACCTCATCCTCCCCCACTCTATCCTCCTCCTCCTCCTCCTCCTCCTCCTCCTCCTCCTCCTCCTCCTCCTCCTCCTCCTCTTCCTTCTCCTCCTCCTGCTCCTCGTCCTCGTCCTCGTCCTCCTCCTCCTCCTCCTCGTCCTCTCCCCCTCCTCCCCCTCCTCCACCCTCCTCCTCCTCTCCTCCTCCCTCCTCCTCCTCCCTCCTCCTCCTCCTCCTCCCACTCGTCGTGGTCTAATCTACCACACCCCCTATCCGCCTCCCCCCTCTCCCACTACTCCCCTCCCCTCCTCCCACTCCTTCTTCTCCCCCCTTCCTGCTTACTCCTCCTGACTCCTCCTCCTCCTCCTCCCTCCTCCTCCAACTCCTTCTACTCCTCTCACCCCTCTCCCCCTCCCCTCGTCCTGACCTCTCCTCCTGACCTCCCCTCCTTCTTCTGGCCCCTCCTCCCCGACCCCCCCCTCCCCCTCCTCCCCCGCCCCTCCCCCGCGGCGCGCGGCACGCCGCGAGAGCGCGCCGCGCCGCGCCGCGGCGACGGCGTGCGGGCGCCCCGCGCGCGGCCGGCGAGGCCAGCGCCCGCCTCTCGCTCTCTCGCTCTCTTTCTCTCTGCGCGGAGGGCGCGGCGTGCGGGGCGCGGGGGCGGCGCCTGCGCCCCGCAGGTAGGCAAAGGCGTTACTTCGCACACCCGAAAGGGGTACGGAAAACAAAAGGTACAATGCCCAACAACAAATGTCATCCCAAACCGGCAGCGGCCGCCGTTGGGCAGACGGCTTGTTGTCTTCAAAGAACAACGTCCGCGGCGGCGCGGACAGCGATTCCTGTTCGACATGAGCCGGGACTGCTCTTGGGCATCGTACCCACTTCGATCGTCCCGAGTTCCACTACACTCGCAAAGCAACTGCTCGCCGTTGGCCTAGATCCGCCGCGGGGCATCCACGATCCATTACATGCAGGGAGACACTGACTACCTACCAGACCACCCCAACCCAACCCGAAGACCCGAATTTCGGGTTGGGGGGGGTAAGGGTTCCATACGTGTTTTTTCGATGTTCCGCGACCCCCCCCCACTGGAAATGGAGGGCAAGTCTGAGCCTTCGGGTTGGGTTGGGGTGGTTTGGTGGGTGGTGAGACACGTCGCGAGCAGGCACTTGGCGAGCAGGCACTCTGCGAGGAGCGGAACGCGCTCGGCGACGCCGGGCCGAGCAGCCGCGGGCTTGGCCGGGGGCCCCCGCGCGGCCCGGGAGCGGTGCGGCGTGGGGCCGCGGAGCCTCGGGGAGGGGCGGGCGGCCGCGGGGCCTCGGGGGCCGGGCGCTCCGCGGGCGACTGGGGGCCTCCGGGGGTTCCCGGAACGGCGCGGCGACGGGCCGCGGGGGGTAGGTCTCCTCCCCCTCCTCCTCCTCCTCCTCCTCCTCCTCCCTCCTCCTCCTCCCCTCCTCCTCCTCCTCCTTCCTCCATCACTCTCCTCCCCTTTTCCTTTTCCTCCTCCTTGTCCTTCTCCTCCTCCTCCTGCCTCTCCTCCTCCGCCTCCTTCTCCTCCTCCTCCTCCTCTTCCACCTCCTCCTCCTCCTCCTCCTTCTCCTCCTCCTTTTCCTTTCCTCCTCCTCCTGCCTCTGCTCCTCCGCCTCCTCCTCCTCCGCCTCCTCCTCCTCCTCCTCCTCCTCCTCCTCCTTTTCCTTTTCCTCCTCCTCGTGCCCCTCCTCCTTTGGGGGAGGTCGAGGCCACCTCAGGAGATGTTAAGAGGGCGAGCTCCGCGTGAAGAGAAGCTCGGCCGCGCGCTCGGGGGCGGGGACGGGGGCCTCCAGGGTCTCGAAGCGGCGCGGTGACGGACCGCGCGGGTGAGGGTTTTGGGGGTTCCCGGAACGGCGCGGCGACGGGCCGCGGGGGGTAGGTCTCCTCCCCCCTCTTCCTCCTCCTCCTCCTCCTCCTCCTCCTCCTCCTCCCTCCACCTCCTCCTCCTCCTCCTCCTCCTCCTCCTCCTCCTCCTCCTCCTCCTCCTCTTCCACCTCCTCCGCCTCCTCCTCCTCCTCCTTTGGGGGAGGCCGAGGCCACCGTGCGAAATCTTAGAGGGCGAGCTCAGCGTGAAAACAAGCTCGGCCGCGCGCGCTCGGGGGGGGGGGGCAGAGGGGGCGGGCCAGCCTTCGAATCCCCCGAGGCGGCGGGGCTTCTCGGACCCCCCCGCGCCTTCTGAGCCTTCCTCGCAGTCGCTCGGACGTTGAATCCCCGTGTATTGTTCGCTTTCGGTTTCGCGCGTGCTTGCATGCGTGCGTGCGTGCGTGCGAGCGTTTGCGTGCGTGCGTGCGTGCGTGCGTGCGTGTGTGTATATGTGTATATGTGTGTATGTGTATGTGCAGGTGTGTATGTGTATGTGTACGTGTGAGCATGTGTGGGGATAGATGCAGGTGTAGGTGTAGATGAAGGTGTATGTGTATGAATATGTGCATGTGTATGTGTATGTGTATGTGCGTGTGTATGTGTGCATGTGTATATGTGTGTATGTGTGTATGTGTGCATGTCTGTATGTGTGTATGTGTGTATGTGTGTATGTGTGTATGTGTGCGCGCGACCGTGTGTGCGCATGCGTGTGTGTATGTGTGTGTGCGTGTGTGTGCGTGTGCGCGCGCACGCGTGCGTGCGTGCGTGCGTGCGTGAGTGTGTGTGTGTGTGTGTGTGCGTGTGCGCGTGCGTGTATGTGTGTATGTGTGTGCGTGTGCGTGTGTGTGTGTGTTTGTTTGTGCGTGTGTGCGTGTGTGCGAGCGTGGGTGCGTGTGTGCGTGTGTGTGCGTGTGTGTGAATGTGTGCGCGTGAGGGCGGGTGCGCGTGCGTGTCTGTGTGTGTGTGTGTGCGTGCGTGCGTGAGTGTGTCGGTGTGGGTGTGCGTGGGTGTGCGTGGGTGTGCGTGGGTGTGCGCGCGTGTGCGTCGGTGTGCCTGTGCGTGCGTGCGTGCGTGCGTGGGTGCGTGGGTGCGTGGGTGCGTGTGCGCGTGCGTGTGCGTGTGCGTGTGCGTGTTCTCGTGGGTGTGCGTGTGCGCATGCGTGTGCTTGTGCGGGTGCGGGTGTGGGTGCGTGTGTGTGTGTGTGTGTGTGCGTGTGTGTGCGGGTGCGTGTGTGTGTGTGTGTGTGTGTGTGTGTGTGTGTATGGGAGTGTGGGAGTGTGGAGGTGTGGGTGTGTGGGGGTATGGGTGTGTGGGGGTATGGGTGTGTGGGTGTGTGGGTGTGCTTTTGTCTATGTGTTTTGATCGATGGTCACAGATGCCCCTCGATGGTCCTCGCCGGAAAAATGCACAAGGCAGCGGCGGCAAACTTCTCCGAAGCGGTGGGCGGCTTCTCGCAGGGCGCGGGGGCTTCCGAGGGAGGCGGGCGCGCGCATCGTTGGGAATGGCCGGAGAGGCGGGGCACCCGTCGTTCGGAAGCGGTGGGCAGCAGCATGAATTCAGCCCAACCTCCGTTCGCTGTTCTTGAACGGAGAGCAGAGGGCGCAAGGAACAACGCAAGGGCCCGACTGCAAGGCGCAAGACACAACAAGTAAACAGACAACAACCACAACGACATCAACAACAACAACAACACCGACACCGACAACGACAACGACAACGACAACGACAGCGACAACGACAACAACAACAACAACAACAACAACAACAACAACAACAACAACAACAATTACTAGCACGTGGGGACACACCGTTCTCACCAGTGCCAGGGTTTTCATAGGAGGCGGGCAATACCCCCACTTTGTGGGGGGGCCGGTTCAAGCTCTACCAAATTTCCAAACGACTCTTCGCCACCACCCACACCCAGCTTCCCGCCCTATGACGTTCGGACACTTCACTTCGTGGCATGCGGACGACCGTGGCTACTATTCAGGGCCCCGCGGCCGACGACGACGGCGTGCGCGCGCGAAGAAAAAACGAATGTGTCCCGCATGGTATTATTTGACAGGGATGATGGCCCTGGCAGGTGCGCAACCGTTGTCGCAGAAGTTCGAAAAAGTTGCTCGCAAAAGCCCGTTTGACAGAAATGTTTAAAAAGTGTTGGGTTTCCTACGAATCCGCAAGAGCGCGCGGGATGAGATTTTGACAATTTTTTTGTTGAAAAACCATTGGTTTTTTGATGTTTTTATGTTAAAATCGCTGCGAACACTAAGGTTTTGGAAGGATTTCGTCTTGCGCGCGCGAATGTCCACTTTACCTTATTTTTTGCAAGGGATTCTTGAAATTTGATTATATTAGAACAAGAAATGTCATTTTCTATTGTTTTTTGCAAGGGAAAGCGGATTACAACAAAACAACCGGATCCTGTACACACCCTCTTTTCTGAGGCTTCCTCACGAAAATGATGAAAATGTAGCTGCGGCCTAGGCGGCGCAGGGGGGGCGCGCACCAGGGGGCCCAACAATAATTATTCTTTAGAATAAATAATGTTCAACAACAACAACAACAACGACAACGACAACGACAACGACAACAACGACAACGACAACGACAACGACAACGACAACAGCAACAACAGCAACAACAGCAACAGCAACAACAGCAACAACAGCAACAACAACAACGACAACAGCAACGGGGCCTCTATTCATGCTGCATGAATGGAGGCCTCCTGTTTGGACGCCCGAAGTAGCTACGGAAAAGATGGGTAGAATGCCCAACAACAAATGCTGTCCCAGAGCAACAGCGGCCGCTGTTGGGCAGGCTGTCTTCGGTCTCCAATGGGCACAGGCCGCGGCTGCGCGGACAGCGAGTCCTGTTCAAAATGAACAAGAACTGTTGTTGGGCATTGTGCCCATTCTTGCCGTACCCAT